TCACCCACCTCCCAGCCCACGTCCTCCACACCCCACATCACCCACCTCCCAGCCCACGTCCTCCACACCCCACGTCACCCACCTCCCAGCCCACGTCCTCCACACCCCACGTCACCCACCTCCCAGCCCACGTCCTCCACACCCCACGTCACCCACCTCCCAGCCCACGTCCTCCACACCCCACGTCACCCACCTCCCAGCCCACGTCCTCCACACCCCACGTCACCCACCTCCCAGTCCACGTCCCCCAGCACCCCCACAGCACTATTCCTAATTTGGGGAGCTCTCATGGGACTTGGGTAGAGTTCTGACGATTGTCACGTTGTATACTCCACAGCTACATAGAACGTTATTGAGAAAACTTAATTACTTCCTTTCTTAAAGGTCATATATAGACAACAGGCAAAATGTACCCAATATAAAAGACCATGATGGGTGCCAGCAGGTGGCATGGTGGTTAATGGTGCTGGACTCCCACATGGCCGACCACAGATCAAGTCCCAGACCTGGCAACTTACTTTCTCACTTTCCTTCTCCCTCTCTCTCTCACTCTGTCCTTCACTGGTCAAATTAAAAAATAAAATAAATAAATAAAAATATAAATAAAGTAATTCTTTAAAAAAAGAACAAAAGATCATGATAAAGAAAAAAACTCAGGACCAGCAGTTGGCGTAATGGCTATGTCACTGGACCCCCATGTAGTCGACTGTGGTTCGAGTTCCAGACCCGGTGGCTTAAACTCACACTGAGCGCATGTGCGTGCGTGCCCAAGATCCCGAGAGGAGAATGGAGGAGAAGAGATTGCGGTGTGGCCATCCCCCCTGGGGGGTGATTTCTCGCTTTCTGTTTCTCTGTCTTTCTGGCGAGCGCATGCGCCCTATTGCAAAAACCTCTCAAAACAAAACAAAAAAAAAAAGCAAAAGAAGTAAAGCTCTCAACACTTCCCTCCATGAGGCCCAGGTCCCTAGTTCTTTTCCAGAGGCGACTGTTATTAGTGTCTTTTATATCCTTTGAAAGACAATCTGTCAGTTGCTGAACGGATAAACAAATGTGATCTAATCATACGAGGAATATTATTCAGCCATAAAAAGAAAAGAAGCACTGATGCATGCACATCGCGGGAGCCTCAAAAGCAGCATGCCAAGTAGAAGGGACCGGACGTAGAGGCCACGCATGGTCCAGCTCCATTTATAGGCGATGGCCGGACGGGCAAGCCCACGGATGAGAGCTTGCCAGGGGCTGGGAGGAGGAGTGCTCGCTAATGGATACTGGGTTTCATTGGGGGATAATAAAAATGCTCCAGAATTAGAGAATGGCTTTCTGAACAAACTAACACTGCCCTGCCCACTTCAAAGTGGTGACGTTTATGATACGTGAATTACAGTTCAAAAAGCAAGTTAAAAAAAACTGGGCCATCTAAGAGTATACCAACATGCATTACTCCTGTCACGTGGCACTCTGAAGCAAATGCACTTTCCACTAAGATAGAAAAGCTGTGTTCTTTTTACCAAAAAAAGTAGACTTAACAATTCAAAGTAAATTGATATATATAGATATAGATATAGATCAAATTTTTCAAAGGAAAGTAATTTTTTTTTAACTTAAAATAAATAGGCCATTGGGTCCAGGACCCAAAATGCACGGTTGGCCATGTGGGACCAGCTGCTCTAACTGCTAGACCATCCGGCTGGCCCTCTAATCTTCTTTTAAACTTACCACCTCAACACAAACAGAAATGAACTATTTTTTTAAAATAGCAAAGTATGACAAGCATTGTAGCACTTAATATCCTCTGCTCTTTTAAGAGTTCTGAGTCCTAATAAATGGTGGTATTTGTATCTAACAGGAATGTTACATTTCTGATAATACTGCAGCCTTAAAAGTGACCTAGAGGGGCCATCAGGTGGCACAGTGGTTAAGGCACTGGATTCACTTGGCCAACAGTGGTTCAGTCCCGGACTCAGCAGTTTGGAAATCATGCTAGGCACATGTATGTGCGTGCCCAAAGTCCCACATGGAGAATGGAGGAGAAGGGATGGCAGTGTGGCCATCCCTCCGAGGGTGTGATTTCTCGCTTTCCCTCTCACTGCCTCTCTCCTCTCTGGCGAGTGCACATACCCAGTGACAAAAAACTTAAAAAAGTGAACTAGAATTGCTGTATCAGAGAAGCACAAATTCTAAGCCAATGTTAACTGAAATTGTACAGTATCCATTTTTGAAAGATCTCTTCATAATACTTTGTGATAGTCTCCCTGGTAATTTAAACAAACAAACCAAAAAACTCTTCAACCGATCAGCAGTGCCCCTCCGAAGGACAGATTTATATTCCTAAGTCTGGTGCACTCATTGTTTAGCATAAACTACCTGCTACATAAATGATTGATTGGCAGAAGAAAAATAAACATAAGCCATGATTTTAAAAATATATAAATAAATAAGTAAAATGAACCTCTAAGTACAGGCTTTCTCAGTCCATGGTCTGAAAAAACACTCGTTTCTTGCAATGCGTGAGCGGCATGGTTTTAGACAGAGAAGACAGAACGGAAGAAATCCTTTAGCCGATCGCTCCTGGCATCCTGCACCACCCTCTCGTTGCTATGAAAGAACTCAAATCTGGCTCAGCCAGAAAAGGGACCTTTCCTGAGTTTAGCTAACCTGAAAGCAACAACCTCCCCAGGCGGGGAGAAGAAGTGAGATGCCACGTGAGGGAGGGAAGCGCGGAGTCACTAGGAAGCCGTGTGGCCGCGGTGACAACACTAGCCGGAGCCCCTACTCCTGAGAACGAGAAGTCTTCCTGCTCCCTCAGTCCGTTTCCTTGCAGTGGTCACGTGGCCTGGAGAGCTGATTTAGACACCACCTTCCTCTCCAGATGAGGAGAGGCTGGCGGTGGTGGTGTGCACACCCTGTGACCGGTAGGACCTGCTCAAACGGCCCCCATCACCTGTCCTGTGTCACGGGCCCCACAGACTGTGCACACACAACATATCCGTAATAATTGGTAGTGTCTCCGTGTCCCCTGCTGGCCTGTGGGTGTAGAGAACAGCATAAACCCTTCCCCAAGGGAAGACTACCCCACGTTTCTTTCCTCCTGCCCCTGTGCCCTGGAAAAGGGGGATGTGAAAGTCAGGGTGTCACCAGGGAGCTGCATTTACTCTAAGACCGACCCGGGCCGGGAGCTGGACAGGACAGAGCTGCTCCAGGAGCTCCCCCCGCCCCCACAATGTCTGTGGGAGCCGAGCAGGGATTCCGGGCGGTGCTCATGAGCTGCGCTGAGAGCTGCCTGAGACTTCCCTGAGCCTGCTGTCCTGCCCCATGCACGTGACCTTGCCCCTCCAGCAAGGGACTGGGGCTGGGAGGGCTGTCACAGCAGTCCTGTGCACCTTAGCCATCTCCAGGGGCCAGGGACCAGGCCGCAGCCTCTGTGTACAGGAGCGTGAATGTCTGTCCAGATCCAAGATCACCGCTGTCACTCAGGTCAGGGCTGGAGCGAGCCCTTACGGAGCGAGTGATGCCACTTCTGCCTGTGTGCAGCGTGGCTGGGTGAGTAAGGAGATCAAGGGCGCTTAGGATACAAGGCAGCGACAATCACAGTCGGGCGTGCGGCGTGGACCGTGGAGGAGCACACACCCTTGGCCTGTGCTCTACTACAGTGCACGCTAGAGCAAGCCTCTCCCGGCTGGCTGTTCTCAGCCAGCTGCGAAATTAAGCAGGAGGTTTCCCTTTTTTTTTTTTTGAGAGGTTTTCGCTATAGGGCGCGTGCGCTCGCCAAACAGACAGAGAGAGACATAGAGACAGAAAGCGAGAAATCCCCCCCCAGGGGGGATGGTCACGCCACAATCCCTTCCCCTCCATTCCTCCATTCTCCTCTCGGGATCTTGGGCACGCACGCACACGCGCCCGGCGTGAGTTTTAAGCCACCGGGTCCGGGACACGAACCGCGGTCGACTACGTGGGAGTCCAGCGACATAGCCATTACGCTAACTGCTGGTTCCCGAAGCGGGAGGTTTCTAATACACCACATCAAACCCCTTCTAGCTTGATAATTAAATTGGAGAAAGAATCTTGGACTTAACGCTTCCTTCACTGTCCTGTGGCTTACGACACGGAATTACGACAGTGCCAGATGGCGGGAGGGAGGGGAGAAGGCGCAGAGGAGCAGAGCAGCAGCGTAGCCAAGCCTGCTCTAAGCTCTCCTCGCACGATCCGGCTGGAGAAATGTGACGAGTGAGTCGTGCTCGATGTCGGATCACATCCTAACTGGAAATGTAAAAGCAATTGCAACCAGAGGCTTCAAAGTGATTGCAAAGCAAGAATTGTTTACCTACGCGTCATGGACAGCCCGGGACTCACCGACTTGTGACTTTTGGCTGTTATGGTCTTCATCTTGTCTGGGTCCCAGATGACCACGTCGGCATCTGAGCCCACAGCAATCCGCCCTTTCCTTGGGTACAGGTTAAAGATCTTGGCTGCATTGGTGCTGGTGACGGCCACAAACTGGTTCTCATCCATCTTGCCAGTAGCCTAAAGGCAAGACACATTGGTGAGGACGGCGACCACATGGGGCTGGGAGAGGGGCAGATGGGAGCGGACCTAAACCTGCCAGCTGGAGCTCCTGTGAGAGTCTGGAACTCTCTTCTCCCCAGCTGATAACATGCCACCCTCACAGAGCACAGGGCCTGGCTCATCAGAGGGGAAATGTAATTAGCTGCACAAGCATATGTTGTCACTTGCATAAGAGCCACTGTGACACCTTGTCAGTGACAAGTGGTCCCAGACATAACAGAAAATAAACCCGTCTGGGGTCAGGTCCATGCTGAGAGTGACTTAAGGCTTCCTCTTGCAATGAGAAGGCTCTTTACCCACTCAACACCCTCCGGCTCCAAACTATGTGAGCGAGCACACGTGTGTACTCACACTCACACCCACAGTGTACAAAGCCATTTGTGCATGAAATAAAATGTGACCAAACAAAACCTTTTTCATCCTTAAAGCATAAAGCGTAACTGACATCTGCAGAATAGGGGACTCTGGGACAAACTCCTTTCTTACGAGTCGTCAGTTTCCGCATGTGCCCTCCTAGTGCATTCGTTTCTGGGTTGAAGGGAGAAAGACAAAACCTGCTGGGCCCTCAGGAAGGTTATGTCGCATTTTTGCATAGAAAAGCATGACCCAGTAGGATGCATGGGCCGGCAGGTGGCATAGTGGTTAACGCCCGTGTGCAGTTTGAGTCCCAGATCCAGTGGCTTGAAACTCACATGCAAGAGTACCCAAAATCCCAAGAGGAGAAGAGGCCTGCAGCATGGCCATCCCCCTGGGGGGTGATTTCTCACTTTTCCCCTCGCTGTCTCTCCGGCAAGTACACATGCTCTATGGCAAAAACTTCAAATAAATAAATAAACTAAAAACCTCCCCCAAAACCTAGAACGCATGTTGCATTTGCTTTTCACGGGTCAGATAGGGTGTTTCTAGGCTGTCCCGGGGAGGGAAGAGTGACGCCTCACCACTGCCTTGTCCCACACGACGGTCATCCGCTCCTCTATCCCGTTGACGCCCTCGGGGATCAGCGTGAAGTTGTCCTTGCCCACCGCCTTCTGGGCAGTGCTGTAGGGACAGTGGCCGCTGCCTGTGACCTGCAGGTCCCCACTGACAGGGATAAAAACAAGGCGAGGGTAGACAGAGTTCACTTTGAAGGGCAAACCTGACATGGGACACCCACACCGGCTCTGAGAGGCACTGGGAAGAGGGCCCTGAGGCCTCACTGCGTAAGTGACACTGAGAGACTCTGACTTTGGGTTCCTATCACGAAATGAGGCCCCATGTCAATGAGGACTCTGGGCTGATCTGGGAAAGACCCCACCCCAATCCAGGGAAGAGAGAGTCCCACCAAACACAGCGCCAGCCCCTCCTGCCCTAAAGTGCTCTGAGGCCGGGACAATACCTAGACGCGACCCTGGTGGCCGAGCAGGGTCTGGAGAGCAGAGAGCCTTCGGGCGCTGTGGGCGTGTGTGCCTCCGTGTGGACAGGGTGACTCCAACCCCACATCTCACTCAACCCCTGGGACTGCCTGCTTTGCCACGATTCGGCTTTGCAGATGTGACAGGCTTGTTTTTAACCCTGGCTCTGCCGCCCGCTGGCTAAGCGAGTTTTCTGCCTTTCCTCACGTGTGTAAGGATGGCACTTCTAGCCCAGGACTGTGCTTAGATCAAATGAGCCGACTCACGGGCTCCCCTACCACACCACAGGCACCAACAACGCACTCCTTTCCCCGCCTGCCTTCCCTCTTTGCCCCACCCCCCACCTAGCCTCTTTAAAGTTGAGCGCACTGTGCGGTTTATCTTAACATTTTAAAAACGAAGCAAAAGGGGCCATCGGAAGGCATGGTGGTGAAAGTGCTGGATTCCCACGTGGCCAACTATACTTTGAGTCCTAGATCTAGCAGCTTAAAAACATCACAACAAGTAGGGGCCTGCAGGTGGCATCATGGTTGGGGTGCTGGGCTCTCACATGGCTGACCGCAGTTCAAGTCCCAGACCTGGCGGTTTGCTTTCTCACTTTCCCTCTCTCGCGCACGTGCGTGCTATCCCTCTCTGGTCAAGTTAAAAGAAGTAAATAAATAAAGTTAAATAAAACAATTATTTTTAAAAATCACAACAAATAAATAAATGTAAAATAAAGAACTTAAAAACTACATGCATCCAATAGAAAAGGACTGACTAAACACGTAAGTAAGTGAGTGTGTCAGCGCGTCTACAAGTCGAGGTGGTCCAGTCACGCCTCGCCCTATGTCTCTGCGTGTTATAAAAAGGACTGACTGAACGAACACGTAAGTGAGTGTGCCAGCGCGTCTACAAGTCGAGATGGTCCAGTCACGCCTCGCCCTATGTCTCTGCGTGTTATAAAAAGGACTGACTGAACACGTAAGTCAGTGAGTGTGTCAGCGCGTCTACAAGTCGAGATGGTCCAGTCACGCCTCGCCCTATGTCTCTGCGTGTTATAAGAACAACATGTGCTGACGTTTGTCTCCTTAACACAAGCTGCTGGCGTGAGGGTAACTGCTTGCAGAACGCATTACTATTCATTGGTGACAGCAGAGGTCTGCGTTCGAGTCCTGCAGGGTTTTGAAAGCAAACGCCCTTGGATATGTTAGGAGCCCGGAATCAATGGAATGAGTGTAGCCCGATTTCATGATTATAAACATAAATGGAGGCTTCCTCCAACTCGGGGGCCCAGGGCACATTACTAATCACCCAGACATGCGGAAATACATAAGGGAGTCTTCAAAATGTCTATGCAAAATGTACATCGTGAAAAAACTATGCATGGACTACAAAAGTTTTTGCACTGAAATAAACCTGTACCTTAATCCCACTTTCCCACAAATTCTGTGAAGTAGACTCAGATTTAAAAGTTATATTCAGTCAGCTACTGAATGAAAACGTGTCGCACACTTCCTGTGTGCTGCTGCAATTTAAGACAATGGGGATGCATCTAAGAACGAAGAGGTCAGGGTCCCCACTCATTGGCTGACATCTAGTGAGGGGTGAGGCAGTCTGGCAAGGAACAGACCTACACATGGCACTGAGGGCCTGTCGTCAGAACAGACATTAGGGACAGAGCCAGCAGACGGAGGCAAGGACGGCTGGGGATGGACGAGAGCTGCCATCAAGGAGCGTGAACGGCGGTTACACGCGATGCTGTGCGAGGCTGATCCACTGGGAAGGCTCCGGTTGGCCTGAGCACGCCGGGCATGTGTGCGCCCATGATTGGAGGCCAGCTGGAGCCAGGTGTGGGTCATGGCATCAAGACCCTGTTGGGGTACTGTCTCTCTATCTCCCTCTCTGTCTCTCTAGCTCATGGAAGAAGTAAGTGAATACACTATCGTTAAAAAGAGGGAAAAAAGAAAAAGAGAAGAAAGGAGAAAAGAAAGAAAGCAGAAAGAAAAAGAAAGAGAAAGAGAGGATAACCAGAAATTGCTCCCTGAGAAAAGACTTTCCAGCGAAGACCTGAGCAAACCACAGGGCGTCCGAGGAAACAGAGTGCAGGGTGGGGGCAGGAGAGTGCAGAGGTGCGGAGGTACAGCCCTGCCCAGTGTTCAGTCAGCACGGGCCCTGGGGCTGCACTGAGGCAGCCAGGGGCAAGGAGGACCAGGCGAGGTTAGGGCATTGCGGGCACTGGGGTTTCCCTTTGAGAGAAACGGCTGGAGGTTTTAGAGCAGAGGGTCGGCTTAGTCTGATTTGGGTACTGCAATGTCTGGGTGTCTGTGGAGAACGGACTGTGAAGGTAGGTGGGTGTACGGGGAAACAGAAAGGACCGTTCGGGAACCAGAGATGGACTCCAGGGCCTTTGGTTCGCGTTCCTGCCAGTTCCTGAGAGGGGCAGGACTGTGGGGAAAGCAACTGCGGGGGAAGATTAGGCACTCTCTTGGACTTAAGAAACATGTGCTGAAGGGGCCAGCAGGTGGCGTAGTAGTTAAGGTACAGGACTCCCACATGGCTGACTGTGGTTCAAGTCCTGGACGTGGTGGCTTAAAAATCAAGCCAGGCATGTGTGCGTGCCCAAATTCCCGGGAGGAGAATGGAGAAGGGATTGTGGCGCAGCCCAGCCCCTGGGGGATGGCTTGTCACTTTCCCTCTCACTCTCTCGCTCTCTCTCTCCAGCAAGTGCACAC